CTGTAATAATGTGATACACTTTTTATGTTTTAATATATAATGTTTTTAATGAAGTTGGCCTTCAGTGTTTTAATATGGTGTTTTTTACATTGTACTTTATATTTTCTCTTTGTATTTCATATGTATGCTATGAAATGTACACTCAAAATATTTTCTGCAAGGTTAATAAAGTTGTTATATATATATATATATATATATAAATTATATACACCATGTAATAAACTGAAATGAAAGCCTGAAAACTGAATGATTTAATGTGTTTCTTATGGACATGTGTGTGTGTAATTTTTGTTTCTGTAGCTTTTCTTAAATAACAGTTGATCATATCGTGTCCATGCGTCATCCATTTAATTCATGTAGGCTTCTCATTGCAAAGTACCAGCGATGACTACATGCGTCAAACTCGTTAATACTAATCACACACACCCACACCTGCTGACACCACTACTGCAGAACTACAAATCACAAAGCCGACATAAAACAGCACAAGTGTGTATCATAAAATATTCAGTTTTATTTCATATAACTTGTAATAAACTGATCTAATATGGTAAATGTACAAACATTCCCTTTAATAATATAATCACCACAAATTTTAATTCTTCAAAACTACACAGCCCATTTATTAAGTCCTACATGTACATCTACATTATATATCGAGTACTCATTAACCGCTTAGAGCAAATGTACGCAGTTTCGTCTCTACTATAAATAACGTGGGCCCACTGCTTTAAAAACATATGTGAACAGTGTCTTGGATAAGAACGTAAATCTTGGTCACTCACTACAAAAATACTTGTTACATGCTTAGCATGCTTGCCCCAAAAAAAAGGCCTTTAAAAAATATCCACAACGCAAATTGCATTTCTAAAATTTTCTCATTGACGGATATCGTTCATATATTGCAATCAAAAAGTGTTTTACATCTATATCCACACAACCACAAGGCAAATATTTCTTTTTTTCTTAATACAAATGCGTCTTTTTATGACACTTAACATGTTACACAATAAAAAAAGTGGTGTATTACGTTTAGAATACAAGTTACTAATTAACATCTTTAAATATAATCAATGGTTTTTGTAATTAATAATTTTGTACTATATTCAATATATCTATAATTTTTAGTATTTTTAGCCAAGTATATGCCTATATTAATATATACATGACACACAATGAACATAATACTTTTAACAAAAAGTTTACAGGTCTAGTAGACATGTATCTGGTCAGGTTACAGTATGCAGACTCATATGAAGCTAATAATATAAAAAGAAAACTGCAAAAATACATCATCTCTATGTCCCATACTGAGTACAGTACAAGCAAGTAATTGTTCCATTTAGTTTAGGCCTAGGCCTATATAACAATATGTACACAATGACACTGGAATGGTGGCAAGTCACATAACCCCTTTCTCAACAGCTTTTGAGTTCGTGGGGGACTTGTTTACCAACGTTCGTAAAAAGCTGTTTTAATACGGACAGCTCTTTGGTAAGAAGTTCAACCTTTTTGTTTAAGCGATCATTTTCGTCAGTAAGTTGTTTCACCTTATCTTGAAGTTGCACAGCCTTCTTCTTGCTTTTTTCTCGACTTTTCCGTACAGCAACGTTGTTCTTCTCCCGTTTTTGTAAATACTCATGTGTTCCTTTCTCAGGCACTTGCCTTTGTCGTTTCGCTGATTTACTTAGGGTCTTGCTTGCTGGTGTGGCTTTGCAAGACGAAGTTGTACTCGTCGGCGATGATGCTTGTGAGACGTAAGGTGACTGGATGTTGTCGTTTCCAGTCAGCCCCATCGACGGCTGATGTAAATTGTTGTAAAAGTTTTGCTGGGGCATTGTCTCAGATTGATTATTCGGACTTGAAACAGAAGATTCACACGAGTAACTCACGTCAACAGGTTCTTGTTTAACAGTACTTGGCAATATGGTTGAATATGTGCTTTGCATCTGCTGGCCTACGAATAGGTTGTCCAAATTACCTAACGTTGGAAAGCTCTCAACTTGTCTACCAACAACAGTAGTGGGAAGAACACTCGGCTCGTTTTGACTTGAATTCAAAAATGCAGAAAAATCAATTGAGTCTTCGTCACCTTCTAGTCCACCAAAATTGTCCGGAAAAAAGGCTGATTCAGAAAAATCTAACTTGTCACCAAAGTCACTCTCATAGAAGCCCATTGATTCCATGGCCACTCCGACCCCTGAACATATTTAGGTGACAAGATATATGTAGAAATTCGTTGATCGTACTCAATGTACAAACACAAAATGCGAGGATATCAACAAATGCTTAACAAAGTTCAATCTATTAATGTACGTTTGTCTTACGACACGAACGAAATATTCATTTAACAGGCTCTTCTTTGGCGTATCTCGTTTGATAGAGTGAAGAGATTCCCAATCGCAAAGGGCTTTTCTGTCTTCCAGTGAGTTCAATCTTATGACCTACGGCCTTCTCACGATATTAGTAAAATAATTATCCTTCCGCAGAGAATGAATATTGGATTTCAATATTTAAACCTTCAACAATATTAAACTATTAAGGGAGTAAAAGTTACAATAAAATATCTTATTTATTTTTATCAAATAATATTTTAAATATTTTTGTGATTTATTTAATAAAATTCAGAACAATTCTGAGCATGGCGTAGGAGACGTACAAGTGTGTGTTATTCGACAGGTACAAATAACTGTGATGTCATTGAAACCAGTTCTAATTGGCTTAGCAACAACGTGTATTTATTCGCGGCAAAGGGGGTTTTCCAATGGGTTTCACTTGTGGTATTGCGCAATCCATCTCCAACGTAATTCCCGTGTTGAAAATGCACTGGCTAAAACTGGTTCATCATTTTACACGGTAGACTGCCCAGGTTTCTATCGATGGTCTGCACTATTTTCTCCTTCAATTTTATTTGTTTTTCATTTAATTTAAAATTTCGATTTTGCTTTATAAATCAAGATAGCCGTATTGTTAAATTTTATATAAATCATCGAAGATTAAATACAGTGTTCGAATAAAGGACTTGGACTAATAAAAGGTATTAAAAAAATCAGATTTAATTGGCGCTGAAAGATCATTGGTGTTGGAATAGGCCTAACACTAATAAAGCCTAATGGTATGTAGCCCTAGACCTATGTTTTAAAGCTTAAAAAATCTTTAAAATGAACACTTATTTGCTTCTGGAGTGGCCAGCATGGAGGGGGAACGTCAGGGAGTAAAACCACAATTCGTCAGGGAGAAAACAAAATAATATATGCCTTTTATACATTAGTAGACTTTTAAATCGATTAAATAAAGCCAAAATTGTCGTAGTTGTCGCTTCCAAAAAGGATACCTGGCGTGTAAACACCAAGGAGAGCCCACGAAAGTCTAGAAGAAGACTTATTTCCAGTGGGGTCATTCTGGTGGTGATTGGGCAGTACACCGGGAGACAATCCCCTACTATTTTCCGAAGAGTGTAGGCCTACTGCGTTCTTTAACGGCACATGGGCCATATGCACAGGGACCAACGGATTAAACGTCTCATCCGAATTAAGACGGTGCGCTATTGTAACTTGTATTTCAGCTCTCCAGCTGAAACATACTTTTTTTTCTTGTGTTCTAATGCGTCTTTGGCTATACATGCGTAAACGGGTAAAATAGCTTAATATGAGGATTTTCGTCCCTATTGTATCATAGTAAGTGATGGCACAAAGACATTTTACCACCCGACGATGGGATGGATGTGTGGGGGGAGGGGGTGAATAGGGAAGGAAACTAGAGCAAGCCAGTGTCATTCAATAAAGCGGGGATGAAGTAGACGATCGGGAGAGGGAAACCCCGGGTCCAAGGGTAAGCACCAATAGAGGCTTAAAATGCCGTAAAATATATGATGATTTAATATTTTTAGTAGGCCTAACTTTGTGTAAAAAAAAAAAACCTTTATACTGTATTGATGCACTCATTGTAGATTGAAACAAAACTGAATTCCGTGCATTTTTTAAAACAAATTTCAGAATAGGAGCCTCGCTAGCTTCTTCACTTTCGTTTTTGAAACTCAATAGGTACTGTATATAGAAATAATTATGCAGGTCATTGACTGCTGTTGTCTTTGACATTGACAACGCAGCAATCTTCTCACATCGAAACAAAAATGAAACGAAACTACCATAGTGGAAATTGGCCTCACATTTTCAAAAAATTAAAATAAAATAATAGGCCTACTTTACGGTAGCGGTAGGCCTAGATATATATCTTTTCGAATAAACGCCCCGGAAAGGGCAGCGCCAGGAATTCTCCGACGAGGGTCTAGGTCCCTTACAAGGCCACCCCCCCCCCATCTTCCACCCCCGGTTGGGGAAAATTGTGTTGTTGGTATTCCTTAAGCGTGTTTTAAAAATTTATTTTGTTTCTTTGAAATTCATGTACCAGTACAGTGTTTGTACTGTACATGTAAGAAAATAAAAACCTATATGTTATATTGAAAAGAAGCTCATGGACTTCTTTTCGAGGCAAATTAAAGGGGGGGGGGGGATTTAATTCGAGATGGCCTTTAATTCGAGATGGCTTCTTCTCGAGACGCCCTGAGTTCTATTCGATGTTTTACGGAATATAAATACACTACTGTATATAGGCCTATAAATAAGAATTCAAACAGTAGGCCCTATCTGCCTCAAAACTAATGTTATCGTACGAGAACTTTCTACTATCCGGGACAGCATTTAGTAATAATTGCAATATGATACGCATTATGTTATTGCAACTTGCTGATAAATTGAACATTTGTAAATTACAATCAAAGATATGTAATGTTTACAATGATGTAGAGCATACACATTACATTTCTGATAATGATTATAGAGGGCAGACTTATAGGAACTCTAAACTCGAGACAATTTCGTCATCGAACACGGAGAATCGGCGAGATACTGTAGGACTATTTATGACAAAATATCATCATCTTCACCACCGTCGTCGTCCTCATCATTCATGTTATTGTTATCAATGATTTTGTTTCCTCTTATTTGTTACATTTTTCTCTCATTTTTTATCGTCTTTGAAAATAGCTTTTATATTATTTGATTGGTGGAGGATTCAATTTGCGGTAAAAGTTAAATCAAATAGATCGAAACGTTGAATCTCAAATGTTTCTGTCTCTTTTCGGAGTTACTGTCTTTTTGTTTTATTTTAAAGTTAGTGTTGTTTTTATTTTAGGGAGCTACGGTACTACTTATAGTAGGCACTGCGCTTCTTCTGTTCATTAATTTCAATTAGGCTACGTCAGAACCTTGAATGGTTCTTAGCACAAGAGCAATACGCTATCCGGCTTAGTATATCTATGAAGGTCACCGTCTCTTTATTTCAACCTAAGAATAAAATGTAAAGTCATGGTTTGGATTCATTTCATTGGAACGAATTTAGAATTGAGAGAATTACTACAAGGGACATATTTTGTTCAATTTACAACCAGAAGTGTGTTATATAGAATTGTCCGAGACATATTTAGGCCTGTTTAGGGCCTCTGTAAGTCTTTCCAGTGTTAAACACCATATTTATTTAGCCACATGCTCAAATGGGCAATAATCGCCAATAGCCAATGTCCCACAAGACAAACAAAATATACACAAAAAGATGCTTTTGAACAAGTTGGGGCATCGACACCGGTAGTTCTTATTATAAGCAGGGACGTGTTTTAACTCATATTGTTTTTACTTCGATTTCTGTTCAGATGAATGTAAGCTATTTGAGGTCCACACAAAAGTCGGAAGATTGCATTTTATTCTAATAATTACATTTTAAAGAATATTTGTGCCAGAACGTAAAAGATGATGTGCATTAGCCGCCTACTCTGACAACCCCGCCCGGGTAGTCGTTCTAACATGGAGGTTCATGTTCACCGCCCGGTTGCCCAGGGACGTATCAGGAAAGAAAGTCGGGCGAACAGATGCATGCTCAGTGTACACAGGCCTATACACATGATCCCCGGCCTAATGCCTAATTTGTTATAATTTTTAACTAACAAATTTTTCCTGTTTCGATTAATATTGTCCTTCATTTTGATTAGGCCTATTAAGAATATTTACTGTAAGTAATATTATGTGAATAATATATTAGTGGTGTTTACATTTGCACCCGTCCGTCACCATTACACTGTAAAAACATCGTGAAGGATTTAAACACAAATCTCCACGCAATGTTTGTCCCGTCTTTGGTAACACGTTTAAAATCTAAACGTGTTTTGTCATTATTAATGTATTTAGGTTTCTGACGTGTTTAGCATTAAATGTGCATCATGATGTCAAATACCTAAGCACATTTAATGCTAAACACGTTAGAAACCTAAACACATTAGGCAGTGCCCTAAACACGTTTAGCTTTTAAACGTGTCACCAAAAACGGTACAATATTGCGTGGAGCAGCTTTGTGTTTAAATGCTTTCACACTGTTTCAACAGTGTATACAGGATAGATCAACGTCACGTCAAGTGGGATATGGGGTCGTAGTGTTTTCATCGCTGCCCTGTTCCTATCAATTGTTTCACCACTGTACTCGAGAATCTTAATGTCGAGTTTTTAGGCCAAAATCGAAATGGCTCTATTCCATAGCTATTACAGTAATAGTTTACTATTATATAGTTTACTATAATGCCTCCTGGCTCTACAGAGTATGAAGAGGGGTCGATGGAGCACCACAATTGATCATGAAGTGTAAGTCAATCATAACACTCAGGCTGGATGCATCTCGGAACACAAGGACGTCGCCCACAGAAACTGGATTCCCAGGAAAAAATGTTTATAGATTTTTATAGGCGGAGGGGAGGGGCAGGGGGTACCCCCCTTGGGAAAAAAACCTTTTCAGGACCCATGATTTGTTACAATGGGAAAATTAAAAGTCGGGAAAGCTCATTTCCCGCCATCTAGAAAACATTTTCCTACCAGGGGAGCACCCCCAACACAGTGCCGTATTAACCATTAGGCAAATAAGGCACAAGCCTTGTGGGCCAGGCAAAAATGATGGGCCATCAAAAGTTGGACTGCAATATTATTTACACTCTATTTTCCGGTATTAGGCCAGAAAACTCGGAGACATTCTACTGTTAGAGTTGTGGCATAGTAACGCTTCTCTCCGACACGAAAGATTTTGTAATCACGGTAGCTGGGGTTTTTACATTTCGTAATTATTACCATGGGGTCCATTCAATTAACATTTTTGGGCCATTTCCAAAATGTGCATTGAGGCCAGACGATGCTTAATCCGGCACTGCCCCAACACCCCTTTCTTTTTGGGGTTAATCGATTCACGGAAAAAAAAGAATACGTATGCAACTACTCAATTGTTTTCTGTATGTATACTGGTACACATAATAGGCCTAGGCCTATTTACTGTAATAAGAATGATAAAGTTTACCTGGCCGTTTTCAAGTGGGGAAACCTTAAGAATGTTGAAGAACTTAATCATTAAAAGACACCTCAGAAGTCGGGAAAGCTCATTTCCCGTCATCTAGGAATCAAAATCAAAATCACTTTTTGGGGTTTCTTTGGAAACATTTTGATCCCCACCCCTCTAAGTGCAGTCCTTATTTCGCATACTACGGTAGTATTCCGAGCGCCTCTGAACTGGATTATGTAGCAAACGCATACTGAGCCCTCTATAGTTAAACCACTTACCAAGCGAAACAAGAGGACTCGATATAGATACTGTAGTAGGCATTTCTCTACATGTACATAAAGACATTCCAAATTCACGTAAAATAATTATTTGTAGGTTCTGCAAATGCGCTGATATTATCATACGTACATGTCCCATTGAATCTCTAATTTATGATTAGGCCCTATCGCTGCTTTGTGTGTTTGCGGATTTATGACGTTCTATATTTTCTCACTATACTTTTGAGAAATGATTTTGTGCAAATATTGACAAGCTGTTAACGAACCAACACCTTCAATTAATGATATAAGATAGAGAAAATTCGATATTGTGGTCACGTGACTAAACGTCGATTCTGTTGTCCGTAACTCTAGACGCAGAAACCTATTATAAGTATAGACATGGTTTAATACCCCTCACCAATGGTTTAAGCCACGCAAACAATCCGATTCGTCATTGCATAATGGTGATGATGGTAATGATGATGATGATGATGATGATGATGATGATGATAATGATGATGATGATGATGATGATGATGATGATGATGATGACTATGGTGGTGGTGATGATGATGATGATGATGATGATGATGATGAAGATGACGACGAATGATGATGGTGATGATGATGTAGCTGCTGTTGCTGACGATGATGCTGCTGCTGCTGGTGATGATAATGATTATGATAGGGATGACGATGATAATAATGATGGTGGGTGATGACGATGATGTCTGATTTCAATTTCAATTTTATTTGATCTCAACTGGCGACACCATCCCTGAATTTTACATGTTGAATGGTCATTATTTAAAAACACAGAAATACAAAAACTTTGAAACATCATAGGATTGTAGAAATTGATAAAATTATGTATTAGGTCAACATTTTAATTCGACGATGATGATGATGGTGATGACGACTACAACGATGATGATAATTATGATGATGATAATGATGGATGATGATAATGATGCATGATTGCGTGCATATTGACGGCGACAATGTTTGTCCTCCTCTAATGTAGGCCTATATCAAATCATTGAACATAAAGAAATTATAAAAATACGATCAATCTTAATAATTCGTTAATTAAATAATAGTTAGTCGAAAATCGTAGTTAGACACACAACCAAGGTCTGATTATGATATAATTAAATCAACATATTGTAATAGACATTCAGATGCATTATACATAGGCCTAATGAGTTTTGCGTTTCGCGATGTTATTGTTTTATTTACGCAAAAGCCAGTAATTAGCCCTCCACTGCCCGTCCCGTTAGCGATTTTTTTCTCGTAAACAATTGCATGAAACTCCACTCGGGCCGTTTCGGATTGACTCGACTCGAGTTCAAATCTTGCCGATTTATGGGATGTACGTCTGTAACAAATGTGAGCTTATTGTATGTTTAAATGTATAATACAACAACAACAACAACAACAGCCAGTACGCCCTTATATAAAGTGTATTACCAGTAGTGGATAGATCATCAAAGGCTAGAAAAAAGGCTGGGCCTAACTACAGGCTAAGTTTGGTCCTAATAGCCCCTCCCTAGACTAAGAGGCCCCTAGCTAGGGTCCTAGACCTCACACCAACAGTCACACTTTACATGACATTGATTATAATTTTGAAAAAAAATTAGAAAACAAATTTGGAACATGAAATTAAAAATGGGACAGAAAAATATTATTAAATAATAATAAATTAAATATATTCTGGCATTAATTAATTAATGAACTTGGCCTAAGCCTTGTAATGTAATTATATTAAATAATAATAAAAATAACAATGCAATAATAATGATAATAATAATGATGATGATAATAATGATAATGATAATAATAATAATAATAATAATAATAAATAATAATAATTATAATAATAATAATAATAATAACAATAACAATAATAATAATAATAATAATAATAATAATAATAATAATAATAATAATAATAATAATAATAATAATAATAATAATAATAATAATAATAAATCATTTCGACATTAATTAACTTGGCCTTGTAATCAAGAACCTACAATACAATACAATACTATTTACTAGGCCTATACAAAATAATAACTAGGCCTCATTCATTCATGGTGCTAAAGGTTGAACTGTATAATTATTTCTCATATAATTTTTGTTGTAATTCTTTGTTTAAATGGTACCCGTTTTTGTTTCACCGGAACAGGAACAATATTCATTGGCATTGATGACGCGTAATCTAGGCATTTCTACGTCATATTCCATATACGGGGTTGCCCCTCCTTAAAATTTTAATATTCCGCTGACAGTCTGCGAACATTTTTTTGTAAAAACCTTATCTACAGTTTACAAATTGGTTTGTTGTATCGATTGATGCCGGTTGTCTGTTATGGAAACCTATCTGAATTTTTATCTAGATCAGAATGATTCAGATATTTTTAATGCTTTGATGACAAAAGCGTTATTGTTACGCAAAGCACCACCCCTAACGATAAGTCATCGGGCCTTGCATGATTGGCAGAACACACGCCTAAGACACGCTATTCCATTTATAATGGTTCCTCCCCATTAATTATATATTTTTTTCTCAATATTTATATCAAAATAAGGTATCTATGATAAAACTATAATTTGGGAGAAAATTAAAATAATTTTATTTTTCTAATTCCTGTAATATATTGCTCAATATTAATATATTTGTTATATTAGATATCAATAACATACAGTATATGTCAGAGGGTAGTAGCAGAAGGTATACTGTGTCATCCACGGTTAAAAAGCTCACAGACGGTTTATTTGAAGTTTGGGGATAAAGGTAGAACAATTCATAGCTGTTCATTTTGGAAAATATTTGCGATGGATGGTTTGTGATTTTCATCTATAATCACTTTGGATCGTAAGATTAATTAATATTTTTGTCTTTATATAATTTTGAACGAGATTGGAGCTCCTCCCACAGAATCGACGAGGGTGTAATTTTTTATCTGATAAAACCGAAGTGTTATTAGGCTGCACTGTTTACATTAGGCTACTCGCCTCGTCAAATAGACAGGAAGACCCTCATCACCTACCTGAGTGAGGAGAACAATCAGGAAGTAAATTCAACTTGAATACACCACAATTCAATAGACATTAACAGAAATATGGTGGAGTAAAATATTGTACGGATAAACTGTTTGATCGCTGTTACTTAACATACATCTTCATTCGGTAAGAAGAGAACAGCGAATTGAGAAGTGGAAGTTGCTGAGAACGAGGAAAAAAGATGGCGGCTTATATTTTGAATGGAAGAGCGTATCGTGTACTGTCGTTGTGTCTTTTAAATGGATTTATATCTTTAGCACTGGGCCTACCAACACAAAATCTGTTTGTTGATAGGAACTTTAAGGATAATACAAACAATTTAGAATATATGAGTACAGAACTCTACTCGTCAAAATTTAATTTTTCTAAAGAAGCCTACAGTGGGTATATCCTAGAAAATTCAAAAGTAGGGAGTAGTGTATTGGGTTTGGAGGACTTGATATTACCATTTACCTGGGAGGCAAGAGATGCTGGCGATCTTACCCTTTCTGGTGATGGACACCAACATTTCATTTTATCGAATACACTCAGTGAAACTGGTATGAAAATAAATTTCCTCACAACAGCAATTTTAGACAGTGAATCAAAAAGTAGTTATCAATTTACCCTGAGAGCACCAAAACTGGGAGCATCAACCGTGGTTCACATTGTCAGAGTAACAAAGTCTGATGATTCATTAATATTTAGGCCGTACCTTGATGATATGATTGTACCGGAATCTAAATCACGTAGACGCAGGGATATATTACCTGGTGTTACTGCGACTGTAAATGAGGATGCGCCTATTGGTTATGTGGTTTATAAATTCAATGAATCCTCATCGCATCGATTTATGATGACCGATAACAACCCAAGATTTGAAGTTGATTATAACGATGGTGAAGTCCGCGTCAGTAGTGCCCTCGATTACGAAATGGTGAACACCGAGACTATTACTATAGTTACATGGGATAGTCAGCAATCAAGTAAGTTGCATTTATTAATACAGTTTATTTAAAACTTTATTTTTTTATGAATTTTATTCTAGGCAATGGCTATTCCACCAATTTTAAATACATTTTTCATTCTGATTGACTGTTTTCATTTAATTTTTTTTTTGTCTTTTCATTGTTTTATCAATTTCAATTTCTCCTATTGTCTTACATTTCTGTATCAATTCAATCGATGCTTACTTTGATTGCAAATAAAGATACTTTGAATTTTAAAATTAGTTTTTGTCCTAACTCATCCATATAACATTCATGCGCGGTATTATTAATAATTATTGCCTATATTCTATTTTTTTTAAAGTTAAATAATTCATATTTTTTATGTAAACAATCTTCCAATGAATCTTAAATTTTCTGCAATGAATTTTATAATGTGTTAGTTAAAAAGGATGTAATAAAATCTAAATAAATAATATACCCTGTCAATGGTTGTGAGTTGTTTGATGTTTAATGATTTACAACCCATGTAGGCAAAGTGCGGCCCTCTGGCTGCATGTGGCCTGACAGATAATTTTTGTGGCCTGCAAGAATGAATTCAAAACCCTATTGAAACCAAACCATGTTTGGCTAAACACTTGTTTTTTTACAGCCCGAAAGTGACCATCTGTAAAAACTAACATTAAAACTGATAATAAAGTGGTATAAAAGCGGTACAGGTTTTGGAAGCACACTAGAAACATCATTTAGGTGGGGCCCTACAGTAGGTGTTTAATCAAAAATTTACTTCAGGCCCTCCAACACCTTTTCATGCCCACCTCTAATTTAAAAAGATTTATTTATTTATTCAGAGCTTCACTTTTATATCAGTAGCACTCTTCCAAAAGGAAGGTGCGTCCAAGAAAAATAAAACCAAATTATACAAAATAGCAAAACTTAAGAAAATGAAATTTGCAAAATAGCAATTTAACACAAATTAAACAGAAACATTCAGATATAAAATTAAACCCCACCCACTCCTCACCCCGCCACATACAAGATAAGGAATTGACCCAAGACCCATTGACGTAACAATTTGTTCCCTTTCAAAACCTATAGAAAGTCTATTAAAATAACAATGACCTTCGTAGTGGTTCGTAGCTACGTTCCAAACGGTACCTACGAGCAGGCTACGAGTGGTTACGCGCAGATACGAAGCGATATTTCACGACTGTACTGTACATTCAATCCATGTGAATGTCAAAATGTTTATTGTAGAATGCTGGGAACCTACTTTACACAACTACTTTGTATTAAGTAAGTATTTTATTATTTGTAACATGACTAACTGGAACCTTATATTAAGCCTTTCAAATATTTTATACATTTCATATAACATTTTAGATCAGAAGTCTACTATAGGCCTATGTAACTGAAAGCTGTGTGACAAATTCAGTTAATACTGTATCTGATAGGGGAGGAAAGCAGAAACTGTTCTTCCTCCCTTACTATAATTATAAACTAACATGATATGATATTATAGCCTTATAGGCATCTAATGTGTCAAACAAAGATAACATTTTTACTAAGAAGGAAATATATAATTTTATATATTCTAAGAAGTCTGTGTCATGGATCTGGATTAGGCTGACTTCCAATAAGGAAACTTGAAAGAGAGCGATCAAACTTTACTGTTGGATGTCCTTGTTGAAAAATTGTTTACGTGAGCTTTGTTTTTTTTAAAGGCTTATTCTCAATCTCTTTAAATCTATTTAAATCTATATATTTAAATCTGAACATTGTGGATTCAGTTAAAATGCTTGGAGATGAGCTGTAACTTGGCTATTAAGATGCTTGCCTTCTAATACCAGATACATTACAACCAAAAAGCAAGTCTACCAGTAGCTATACCAAAATAATAATATTTTTTTACCTTAATTATTCTAATTACAGACCAAAGCTGCTAAAGACCATGGAAACCCTGGCCCCAAAATTGGTCTTTAATTGGAGGGAGACCTGTATTTTGAAATAAAGAAACCCAAATTGTAATTTAGTGGTTGATACTTTTTTTTAAATTTTTGATAAATCTTACCTGCATGATCTAATAAACCTAGATGATATGATATGAAGTCCTACTTACTTAAAGGCCATTTATAATTATTATTAGATTGCGGAAGTTGAAAAGTGTTTTAAAATAGAGTAAATGGGGTTGACTTTCTCAAATCCATCCATTTTAAAATTGTTATCAAGCATTTAATTAAAATCACAATTTTCAGGGATTGGAAAACCCAGAATAGGTTTAAACAGAATGTTCTCCTCCTCACCTGTGTGAAACCCATTCATGTTAAGTAAAGGGTGAAATTATGAAGGCTTTGCAATACAGCTGGCAGCCATATGCTAATAAGAAACCGAAACACAAACAAAGGAAACGGTTGGGTTTTACTAGCTAATGCTTTGTGTGGGTTTTTGGCCTAGCAGCAGAGGCAAATGTTTCCTAACAAGACATACATTCATTATTCCTACCCGGATCATGTTTATTGTTATACCCACAGGTACTGTGTATTATTACAAACGAAATTCTAAACGACTTGGAATTGGCAAGTCAAATTTTGGGTTTGTTCGTCAGACATGTTGGTGCACATTATATCCGAGTATCAAGAAAATCTGAGATGGTACCCAGCCATGATTTTCTGAAAATTTGTTGAGTTGGCACGGAATGACCCTATTATTAGGCTTTATTATACACAGGCTGATCAGATGTTGCACCTAGTGGTATGGTACTTTTTAAACTGCTCAGAGGTCTCTGCTTCCTACCCATAGCATGTATGCTCCACACACAGAATTGCATATTGCAATATTTTCATTTTCAGTTGTACTTTCACTTCTTGTTGTACCATGGAGCAAAACCAATTTCTACGTCTGTGATAAACGTTAAAGTTTATCTAGATTAATGTCTCCTCTTATTGTTAAAACCTTACCTCCTATGTCTGGCAATAAACCAATTGATAATATGATAAACTATCAATAAACAAACAAGTTATACAAGTTATTAAGTTCTACTTTATAATGTCTTTCATAAACAGTTGACAGATAATGAGTTTATAGAACGTAACCAGTAGTAACATATATGTTGAAGCTTGCGGTACACCACGTAGGTAGTTCTGAAAAGAACTGTAGTTCTTTTCAGAACTACTTAAGCGGTGTACCGCAAGCTTCAACATATGTTATTACTTCGCCATGCAGACCTTCAAACAGTAACTAGTAGTGTCATAAACATTGCAATTTAGTTGTGTTTCTATGAATAAAAGTGAACAGAAGTGTTTATTATTTTATTATTATTACTACTATTTTATTATTATTATTTTGATTATTTTATTACTTTATTGTTTTTCGCTCTTTATTTTGTAATTCATTGTAAAGCGCTAGTGACAACTTTGGTTTAACCGGCACTATATAAATTTTAAAACCTATTCATCTATCTAAGTGTTATATTGACAGTGACATGAAGATCTGAAATTTCACTCCGACCGACCTTTTGGTTCTACACCTAGAATTTATGTGCCAGTCCATTGTTTACATCCCAACACCAAAGTTAGGTCACGTGACGACCCATCTTCGAATCCCTCTATTTATCAACACTATAATCATAACAAATTACTACTTTTCTGTAATTTTTTTTTACTGAATGCCTACATAATTTTATTCTTTTTTTGCAAGATATTAAGAAATATTGAATATCATCATAATTACATTATTTTTTTTTTAAATTTTTGCCAAGAAAACAAATATATCACATTAATCAACATATTTTTGCTATACTGTAAAGTTGATACTGTAGCAAGTACTATCCTACTAAACTACAGGTAGTATTGCATTGTCTGCTGATGATAGTACAGTTGTAAGAATAAAGAGAAGATTATGGATTAATGCCCGAGGACATGAATTAATATGCATGAACTGTAAAACAAATTAACATTATGATAAGTTATGTGCACAGATAAACTATACAAATAGATATTACTAAATACTAGATTATGTTAAGCTAAACAAATAAATAAAATGTATTGCGTGTACATAATAATACTGGTACATTTTATTGCTATACCAACTGTGTTCAGTTTATTGCACTTTTATCATTTTGTTACTATTATTTTATTGTGCAGTAAATCCACTCTTTATTATTTACTTTTGTATTTGTTCACAACCCCTAGAGAAGTGCCTTTTGAAAATATATGTTTTCCCATGTTGATTACAAGGTTGTTTATTATCAAGAAAATCCTGATAGTGCACACACAAATTAAAATTGTGTTACTGTACATTTATAATAAAAGTGAATACTGTTTGATTAAACATTGTTCAATGTTGCAGTATTTGCATTGCTTTAACTGCATTTTTTTTTTCAAACCATATTCTCCTGATTACAGGAAAACATTTTTTCATTACCTGTAAATGGCTGCTTTATAGCAGTTTTGTAGTATTCAAGCATTCTATTAAATGTTCATAGATTTTTACTGCTTTTGCATCACAAAACTGCTTTGTAATTTATGTAGCATTTAATATCCTAATTTTGATACGTTTTTTTTTGTATCTACTAATTTGTAGCTCATTCATATTTAAATCCTAATTTTCATAGATTACCAATTTTTTCTGATGGTTGCTTCATCATAGCACATTCATGTACATGGTATTCAAATGCTCTAATTTAATGTCCTATTCTATCATTGAATGATCTACCTGTTCCAGTTGCTTCCAAGCACATTTTTATGTACTGTACATATTCATGTTTGTTCATTTGGGCCACCAGCCTATTGAGAATACAGTATAATGACCTAAATATACATAAACATTATGTCCTAGTTTACATATTAAACTACAGTACTTCATTGCCCATTCCCGTAATATGCTCCAATTGAATTGAACCAACTACAGCATTATTGATTGGAATAAGCCATGTCAATGTGCACTGTATACTTTGTATAAGGTAATTCTACTGTACATGTAGTGAGATAACACTTCATATTGGTTTCCTATAGGTGTTTAACATATTTTAATTGCCAGGG